AGAAATTTAATCAGACACAAATAAATGAAAAAATAGCCTGTGTTCATGAATTGTAAGACCTAATATTAAGATACCAATACTATCCAAAGCAATCTATAGATGCAAAGCAATCCTTATCAAATGCTAATAACTTTATTTTGTGCAGAAACAGGAATCTCCTTCCTAAAATTTATGCACAATCTCAAGGGATCCCAAACAGTCAAACAATCCTGAAAAAAAAAAGAACAAAGCTGAGGCCTCATAAGGGACTAATATCCAAAATATGTATTTTTAAAAACTCCTAAAACTCAATGACAACAACAATTAAAAATGGGAAAAGGACTTAAATAGACGTTTCTCCAAAAAAAGATATACAAATAGCCAACAGGCATATACAAATATGATCACTATCACCAGTCTTTAGGGAAATGCAAATCAAAACCACAATGACATGTGACCTCATACACATTGAGAAAGCTACTACAAAATACAATTTAAAATAAAAACAGAAATAACAAGTGTTGGCAAGACTGTGGAGAAATCGAAAACCTTGCATACTATTGGTGGGAATGTAAAAATGCAGCCATTATAGAAATCAGTACGGTGGTTCCTCAAAAAAAAAGAAGAATTAACACATAATGCAGCGATTTCACTTTTGGGTATATATCCAAGAATTGAAGTCAGGGTCTAAAAAGATACCTGTAGCCCTGGCTGGTTTGGCTCAGCGGTTAGAGCGTCGGCCTGCGGTCCTGAGAGACCCCGGTTCGGTTCCCGCTAAGGGCACGTACCTCGGTTGCAGTTTGTCCCCGGCCCTGGTTGGTCGTGCGGGTGGCAGCCACTCGATGTGTTCCTTTCACATTGATGTTTCTCTCTCTCTCTGTTCCTCTCTCTCCCTCCCACTCTACCTGAACAAAAAAATGGAAAAATGTCCTCGGGTGAGGATAAAAAAATAAATAAATAAAAAGATACCTGTACACCCACGTTCATAGCAGCATTATTCACAATAGCTAAGAAGTAGGAAGCAACCCAAACGTCCATTAATAGATGAGTGAATAAACAAATTATGGTATATACATACAAAGGAATACTTTATTCAGCCTTAAAAGGGGAGAAGTTTTTGACACATGCTACAGTGTGAAAGAACCTGAGGACGTTATGCTAAGTGAAAAAGCCATTCACAAAAAGACAAATGCTGTGTGATTCTACTTATATGAGGTGCCTAGAGCAGTAAGATTTACAGAAACAGAAGGTAGGATGGCAGGTGCCAGTGTCCAGGGGAGGGGACGGGGAGCTGCTGTTTAACGGTTATAGAGTTTCAGTTTGGTAAAGTGGCAAGAGTTCTGGAGACGGATGGTGATTGATGATGGTCACGTGTGAATATAGTTAATGTTACTAAATTGCACACTTAAAAAATCGTTAGGATAATAAATTCTGTTATGTGTATTTACCACAATTATAATGTTTTTACTTTAAATGTCTTTTAATTTAAAAAAAATTTTTAACTGTACACCTCACTCATTTTTATTCAAGGCAATGAGTTTTGCTTCATCCTAAAAAAATCAGTATTAGCATGTCATTCTTTCCAATTCACAATAGCTCCTTCATAGCTTTATTAACTTGGCTTAATTCCAGTCTCAATTCTAGCTGATTTTCTACCCCTTCTACAGTTACAGTTGACCCTTGAAAAACACGACTTTGAACTGTATGGGTCCACTTATAAGCAGATTTTTTTCAATGAATACATAAAGTACTGTAAATGTATTTTCTCTTTGTTATGATTTTCATAATAACATTTCCTTTTCTCTAGCTTACTTTATTGTTAAGAATACAGTATTCAATACATATACCCTACCAAATATAACTGACTGTTTATGCTATTGATAAGGCTTCCGGTCAACAGTAGGCTTCTAGTAGTTACATTTTGAGGGAGTCAAAAGTTATACGTGGATTTTTTACTGCATTGGGGTTGGCACCCCTAACTCTTGAGTTGTTCAAGAGTCAACTATAATCTCTTCTAATCTATTACTGGTCCTCATTCAGTGCATATCCTTTGATCTAATCAAGGCATTGTTCCCTGGGTCTTTTCTCCAATTGTCCCAACTACCTAAAATAACCTCATTTTAATCCATTCAACCTCTTTCCACTGTCCTTTCCTACCCGGTTCATGCACATAAACTACAACAACTATTGGCAACACACCTTGTCTCCCCATTCCCTGAAGTCCAATTGCAGTATTGTCTGAGGACTACAATTCAGCACTTTATTTGTCCGACTATCAGCACCTGAGATCTTTTCAATACAGAACACTAAATTAGAGACTAGACTAGGTAGGGTCCATCAAGTATCGCTTCCAATTGACCCATTCATAAGTCTTACCCAGACTACTAGGTGGTAAGTGTCTCAAGAATGAAACCATGCACACCTTTCCATGCTTCTGCTTATGAATAGTGCCAAATCCATTATAAGGATTCACTGGTTGTCATCACAAATTTAATTCACAAACTGAATATAATAATGAAAGGACTTGAAAGTCTTAGAGTTTGAACATAGTTCAAGAGTTTGAGATTTTGTCAAATATTAATTAGACTTATTGTGGTGATCATTTTGGGTTTTTTTGTTTTTGTTTTTGTTGTTTTTTTAATCCTCACCCGAGGACATTTTTCCATTTTTTGTTCAGATAGAATGGGAGGGAGAAAGAGAGAGGAAGAGAGAGAGGGAGAGGGAGAGGGAGAGAGAGAGAGTGAGAGGGAGAGGGAGAGAGAAACATCGACGTGAAAGGGACATGTCAAGTTGCTGCCACCCGCACGACCAAGCAGGGCCGGGGACAAACAGCAACCGAGGTACATGCCCTTAGCGGGAACTGAACCCGGATCTCTCTGAACCACAGGCCAACGCTCTAACTGCTGGGCCAAACCAGCCAGGGCGTGGTGATCATTTTGTGAAACCAATTATGATGTTATATATCAATTATATCTCAACTTTCCAAGAGTTTGAGCATAAGCATTTATTTATACAAAATTCTTCCTGATACTTCTTTTATTCTCTACTCTTTAAAAAAAAAAAAAAAGCAGCCCTGGCCAGTTTGGCTCAGCGTATAGAGTGTCGGCCTGTGGACCAGAGAAGCCCGGGTTGGGTTCCGGCTAAGGGCATGTACCTCGGTTGCAGTTTGTCCCCAGCCCTGGTTGGCAACCACTCAATGTGTCTCTCTCACATGGATGTTTCTCTCTCTCTCCCTCCTCCCCCCTCTCTCCCTCCTGCCCTGTCTGAAGATAAATGCAAAAATGTCCTCGGGTGAGGATAAAAAATAATAATAATAATAAAAATTTCAAAAACCTTAAAGTAGATAATATAGGAGAAAGGCATGGATTCGGGACAAGTGTTTTGGAGGAAAAATTACTTGAAAGTTTGTCATATTTTGTTTGAATTGAATCTGGAGGCAGAATATACATAGTTTTGGCAAAGGAAGAAAGTTTGAGGACAGAAAAACTGGGCTAAGAATTCTTCCTTATAGTTTCCATCACCATATTTCAGCTTTATCCTTGCAATAGTAACTAGACTTGCTGTTTTTAATCAATCAGCCACCAGCCAGCTCACACATGCTTCTTCACAACTAGAAAACCACACCCCAAACCCAATAGGCTTCTGATACCCCACTTGGAACATTGGATTGGATTTGGGGTCCAAGTAGAGCGGCCCCTCTCAATTCCCATGAGTTCATACATTAAGTAGAGTCTGGATAAATACAGTTAAGTGTGATTTAATATTTCATTTTTCAAAAGAAACCAACGCATGAAAATTTCATAAAAAGGAAATAGAAAATCAAGGGCAGGATATAAAAATATGAAGAATCATAGAAATGTGTTAAGTGGAACTTCCTAAATGGTTTTACTGTCTCTGGTTACATATTCTACTTATCCCCAAAGTGGAATCTAACGAGCTTCTGTTTCCCTTAGTAGATCTCCTGGACGAAGGAACCAAAGGGGAGCATGTTCAGTGGGTCCATTCTGGGCACAGTTACCCCTCCCCAGCCCACCTCAAAGTCCAGTGAACACTGGATCAATCCTGAAGGGTCTGGCTCCAACAAGAGGTGTTGACTACTGCAATGAAAGGCCTACTTAACCCAAGCACTATGCACACAGAGATGCTTTTGCCCCTGCTTCTGTTTGCCCGGCATCCACGCCAGGTCAGGCCCTTCAAACAAGCCCCTTATGTCCCCAGGAAAAAAGCAGGGTAGGCCCAGGTGGGAAAGAGCCCACGCTGAGATATCCACAATCCGTCATGCCAAAGGAAAAGCAAAGAAAATATTTAACCAACAACTAAACCAGGGCAACTGGGCCAGAAGGCAAACAGCTGAGGTGTGCGGAGGGATCTGAGGGGCCTTCCTACACTGCAGTAGCTGTGGGAAGATTAACCTTCCTTCTCCGTCTCTGCCCCTCCGAGGCCTGCCTGCTAGCTCCAGCTCAGAGCCAGCCTCTGAAAGCAACCGTGCTGATCAGCGCGTCCGCACAGAGCCCAGAGCCTGTGTACACTGCTGAAAGGCAGATGATCTGCACGTAAAGCCCGATCAAGGCCGTTTCTACAGCACAGGCAGCTTCCGTGGTTTCTATTTTATCTCCCAGGATTTGAAAGAAAAAACAGAATGCACATTCTTATTTTATTTCCTAAAGATGAATGAACTTTTCAACCACGAGGATCCCTTTTAAGTCAAATAATGTCTTCGACTACCATGTGATAGTAATTGTCTTTTAATTTCCTTTGATGGAGAAAACACACGATGACAAAGGCTATTATAAATTATGTAACTCTTTTATAATAAGTATGTATAATATCACAACAGCCTCTGAAGACTTCTGAAAAACGTATGTAGAAGACATTAGTCATTCACCAACCCCCCGTCCCCACACACCAAGGCCTCCCGTCTCCCCCGTCGCCTCACAGGCTGTCCCAGGGCCAGAGCTCACAAGCTCCAGGACTAGTTCTCAGGGCAGACAGAGGCTTGAGGGAAGGGAATATCATCTCACCATAGCTCATCTCCATCCATCGCCTCCTCTCCTGCCCTTAACAGCAGAGACCAAAAGTGCCGCAGACACCAGAGGTGCAGGGCTGGGGGTGTCGGTCCCAAACACACAGGTCTCCAAGCTGTTCGAGAGAGTAAGGGCCAAAGGCCGAGAAAACAAAAGGTTTGGGTTTTCAATGTTGGTTTCTCAAGAACAGAGTGACCCACTAAAATCTGAGACTCTCCATGTATAAAACTAGAACTTATGTGCGATTTTTCTGTGGCAGTCTGGTACAATAGATGGCATCCTCTGTTGAAAACCCAAAGCATGTCCAGCCGGTGTGGCTCAGTGGTTGAGTGTTGACCCATGCACCAAGAGGTCGCTGGTTCGATTCCCGGTCAGGACACATGCCCAGGTTGTGGGCCTGATCCCCAGTGGGGGGCATGCAGGAGGCAGCCAATCAATGTTCTCTCTCATCGATGTTTCCATCTCTCTCTCCCTCTCAGTTCTTCTCTCTCTAAAATCAATAAAGGAAAAAAATTTTTTTTTAAAAAGAAAAACCCAAAGCCTTGGGTTGGATTTTCGCCACCCCTGAAGGCTGAAGTAGACCATTTAAAAAAAAAAAAAACTCCTTTTTTCCCTCCAGAATCAAGCACTATTTTTGACATCCATCAACACTAAGTGTTAGCTATTGAAATAAATAGGTTGATGATGCAGCTTTTTATCCAGCCTTGAGCTGGAAATCAATTAATAGTTAATGAATGCATGAGAAAGCAAAAAGTCACCATGGCCACCACGCAGACGACAGCATGGGGATGCGAGCTTCCTCGCACAGGCTCTGCTTCTCCCTGCTTCGAGGGCCACAGGGCCTCTGGACAAATTAGGTCTGGAGGCTGGGTGAGCAAGGGCCACGCCTACGCTCACTCCCCATCCTTCACCCGGGCAGGTCCCAAAACACTTGTCCAGCCAAGCTGATGGATGGGCCTGGAATGGCCTTGTTTGCCACCGGGGTGAGGGGCAGCAGCTGTTTAACAGCCCTGCAAGTGACCCTGGTCGGCACTTTCAAGGCAGGAAGCGCAGAAGAATAGAGTGTCCACTTAACACTACCACAAAGGCAGTAGGAGGAGGAAGTTCCTCCCCTTGTAAGCAGGCCAGCAGCCTAATTACACACACACAAACGAGGGAGAAGGGGAGCTCGGGGAAGGGAGGGCAAACGGATCAAAATTGCTCCCACGCGATCCTAGCTTGGCCCCGTTCCCTCAGAAGACTTTGGGACCTGTGGCCCCATGTGCTGCACAGAGAGGAGGTGCCATCGAGGCCCCACCCGTGACCTGTGCACCAGGCTTTGCTGGTGTCCGGCTTGGCGAGCCCTCGAAGCTCCCTCAGTAGTCCTCACGCAGCCTGGAACCTCGTCCTGAGCCCTGTTCCTTCTGGATGTCCCCACTCCACCGTTTCTCCTTCCACATCCCAGAGGTCAGTACGAAAGAAGGAAAAAGGAAGCCAAATTCAAGTGGGCTCACACGGCCTTCACTGGTGAGCGGGCGCTTGTTTATCCGGGGTGGGAGGTGAGCAGGTCCCATGCAGAACTGCTCCTGTGGGTGCACGTGTTCTGCTCCCCATCACAGCCCACCTGCCTGCAGGCCCTGCTGAGCCTTGTGCCTTTGCCACCGGGTTGAATGGAAGTGTGAGCTACTGCTCCACCGTTTCCTGTTGCAGAGGAAAGTGGAGACAGTCCACACTTCTTTCGCACAACCTGAAGTACATACAATTTTTAAAATGCAAAGTGTATTCAAAATTTAAATACAAATTAGATATGGAGCGTTAAAGGGGGTCACACAAGTGAAAGGCCCTGAAGCTTCAGTTTCCTTAGCTTCCTGGTAAACTGCACCTAGACAGATGTATGCGCACGAACCCTCTTCTTGAGTTTTGGTTTCCAGAGAAGGGGCGGAGTGAATCGGACCCAAATGCCAGGTGGGTACCAGGGAGCCCCTCGCAGGAGTCAGAAGGAACTACCCTCTGAGTATCTTCCCTCTTTGCTTTGCTTCCTCCCTCCCACCTAAATGCTTCACAGATGGATGCAGATGTGTGTGGAGTCTGAGCCAGGGCTCGCCATCCTGAGGGAAGCTGTCATGGCTCCAGGTTGCCTGGCTGCACGCCTGATGCTGAGTCACTCACCTCGGCCAGCATTAGACAAGCATGTGTCCGGGGAGCTCTGCAGCCCTTGGTCATGCCGCATCGCGCTGGAGGAAGTCAGAGAAAGATGTGGGCTCAGGCCAAACATAACAAGTGACCCGTGTTGGAACTAACTGTGCTGGGAAAAAGTCAGGAGGTTGCCCTGGGCCTGGGTTGCTTCATCTGTGAATTGGGGCTGCAGAAATGAGCATGTTTGAGGTCCCCTCTCACCCTGTGAATCTCCAGGATTTCCACCTCGGATTCACTGTTTATTCAAGTCATTTCACGCCTCATATGGTCACCAAGGCCCCTACCTCACTTGCCCCAGCTCCAGGTTCCCCCCATCCTGTAGCCCCACCTGCCTCAAATAAGACTTCTATCTGCAAGCAAACAATTTTGTAATAAAAGGGGAAAACGACTTTGAGTGCCCTGATTTTCAAAGGGGCAAACTGAGACGTGAGAGGCAAGGATGAAGGAACAGGTGAGAAGAAAAGGCCAAGTGCCCACCTCTTTTAGGGAACATGTGCTACTGGTGTCTTGATGGCTCTGGACAAAAGTAATCTGAGAGCAAAGGAGCCAGCTCCCAAAGAGGCTAGTGCCAAGGGCGAGAGGAGGTGCCCGCCCTTCTCAGGGTGATAACTTCTACCAAACCAGATAGGCAGGCTTATGCGATACCAACCAGCTCGGGGGAAATGTGCAGGGCAGAGCCAGCCACCGATAGTCTCTTTCTTCCAAAATAATGTTAACTTGGGTTGTTCCCAAGTCTCCAGGGCAAGTTCCCAATCGCCCCAGAGTTGTACCTGTGCTTCACCACTGCCCATAAATCATAACAGCAGTAAGGACTCCAGTTCATTTTTGCTCTAAGACTCCTAAAGTCAGCCTCCCTCCCAGAAATCCTATTCTTCCGCCAAGCCCCTTGTGTCTCCTGAGCTCCAGAATGAGCCTCCTGCCATATGACCCCAGTGGGAACCTTCCTTTCCTGCAGCCAGGACATGTAAATCTATCCGGCCCCACTCAGATATCCTTAAATGTTTCTGGCTCCGTTCTCAGGTTCGCTCTAGCTCATCCTTCCACTCTCCTGCTCCTGCCCCCACCCACGCGCCTCCAATAATGCAATTCCTTGCAGAGGACACTTCTCTGACTGTTTAATAAACAATATAGGTCATGACCCTGTCCTGAGGGCCCCGTATGACCAAGCTTTATGCAAATCTGATTTCAGAGGCTAGTATTACGTTGAACCATATAAAATTGTCATTATTTAACCATGTTGACATCCAAAAAAAAAAAAACAATTTCATGAACTTCAATCTAATAAAGGAGCCTGGTAGTCAAATATTAAAAACATATTATCTGACTTCCCACCTGCTCTCTTCCTGAGCAGCGCATATAAATTTACAGGTTGGGTTGGGGAAGAAGGCAGTTCTTTGTAAAATGCATTGCTTCTCAGTTGGGGGTAATTGTCCCCCTCCAGGGGACATTTGCCAATGTCTGGAGGCATTTTTGGTTGTCGCAATGGGATGGGGGGTGCTACTGGCACCTAGGATGCTGCTAAACACTTGACAATGCACAGAAGAGCCCCCATAACAGAGAATTATCCCACTACTCTGGTGGAGAAACCACGGCACCAAGTGTTACTGGGGTCCCCGCGCCTTAGCTGCGCAATTAAGCACTAAAATAGAAAATGCAGCTCTGTGAGCCCTAAAGAGAGCGGTACATTAGCCTCCTTCGTTCTGAGGCAGGTGGAGCGGCAGCTCCCGGCCTCCATGACCTACCTCTGATCTGTAACTACCCCCAACACCAGCCGCCTCTCAGAAAGCTCTTCCTCCGGCTCTCTTCTACCCTGACAAGACGGGCATTTTCCGAGGATTCCCCAAGCCCCAGCCCACATGCCTGAGTCAGAAATTAGACTCGATGCCTGGGCCCTTGATGTTTTCCTGCAAGAGACAGGCCGTTCTTCCCGCCTGCCTCACCCAGCAGCATGCAAAACTCACCACAAGGCTGCTGCAGCCAGGCTGTTAAAACCGCAGCGCAGCCCTCCAGACCAGAAGAGAAAGCTCCCCCTGGCCAGCTGTGGCGGGCTCACGTTGTTTCCTGGAAGAGATTGTGTGTCACTCTCGGTGACGAAGAAGGCAATTTAAGAGGCTCTCCAGTGTAGTATCACTTACCTACCCCAGCTGCTGCTGCCCACTGTTAGGCAGAGAGCTGGAGTCAAAAGAGGCTGAGTAAATACAGCTCATTTTCACTGTACATGAGCTATATTTACCCTTAATATGCAACCACCTCAGCTCTTTCCAGCTATGTCTGTTGGCAGAAAGTCTGTGTGAGGCCGAGGCACACTCACATTTATTTATGAACTTGAACCTAAGCTACAGCCACAAAAATCACCCACTCAAAGAAATGGAAGGAATGCTGAGCGTCATCTAAACAAGGCTAAATCGGAATTTCCAAAAATAACACAGTCGGAATGTTCTGCACCAGAAGATTCCTAATAAAAGAGATTCCTCAATCTCCTTGGAAAACCCATCCTGGTATCACACGAAACTCATAAACAGAGCCATCTTCCTGCTGCCCCAGCCTCTCTCCATCCAGCTGCAACTCAACACTGCAATAATGTGGGATCTTTTTTAAAATAAAAACAGGAGATACATGATCCCGTTCCAACACCGAGCCTGTTCTCTGCTGTGCAGAACTTAAAACCTGCCTGCCGTTCACCAAATGGCACAGTGTGCTGGCAGACAGAGCCGGGAGAGAGGCTAAATGTATTTTAATGGGGCCATTAGGATTATGTCAAAAGGTGAGAAAAAAACATTCGCCAGCCAAGAAAATAAGCATTGGCCTACAAGAACTCTAATGTTTTCCATCTATTTTCCCTCCACTTTCTTGTTTTGCTTTCTGTGAGAATCTAATTCCATAGGAGAGTCCCCAGTTCGTGTGTGGCTGGCAGAGGCACTGTGGGTAGAAATACACGAAGGCAGAAAGAGAAGAACACCTAGCTATGGGTTAAGCCCAATGAGATCTGTACAAATTTCCAACGCAGGTAGATTACAAAGCAATGACCTTCCTTTTGACAAACCAACCCACCATCCATATCTTCAATACTAGCCTTAATAAATAATCTTTTCTCTACGCTTCGTAACACTGGCTATTAAACATGGGGACAACACATCAAAGCTCAGAGCAGGGACAGAGATCATTTGAACCAGAAAATACCCTATTTCTGATAACTTTCTTAGACTTCGCTCAATGCCACTGAAGGAAAGACGAGACTTAAATTTGCTCCTTGATTTGAGCAGGTACAGGTGATCTAGTTATCCGTTCCAGGTAAGAGATAATTCCCAGCACCCTTTGCTGCTGCTTAGACCTTCTTGGTAACAACAAGAGCATCTGACATTTGTACAGCTTTTTACAGCTTACAAGCCAATTTAACACGAGTTCTCGTGAGCTCCTCAGAGGAGAAAAACACCTGTAATTTAAGTGAGCTTAAGCTCCCCATTTTACAGATAAGGAAACAACCCAAGACATTCATGAGGAGCGCGTGTCTGTGACTCACTGGGCTGGTACAAGTCATCAGAGCAAAACTGTGAGGACACCAAGACACCCAGGAGGCACTGCGCCTCTTCCCTCAGTTTTTGGGCAGCTGGAATAGCAGCTAAAACTTAGACATCTGCCTCTGCTGGCCACGGTTTTTAAGTTCAAAATGATTACATTGCCTTTGTGATAATTTACCCTAAATTATTTCAGTATTAACAGTGAATATTTGTGTGTATGTGTTTATTGTAGGGTAGGGGTGGTTAGTGACCATTTGAACTTCCCCAATCAAGAATCTACCAAAAGTGCTTCTGGAGGACATCAAAAACCTAATGAAAATGTTCACCAGAGGGGTCATTATTAGCATGAAAGGTTAAACTGTGTCTTTCTTTTGGTGACATGTTCAGTGTGTAATATATCAGTTGAGAGAAAAATTGCTCAGGTACTATCACCCTGTATGAATAAGGCATAAGAATACTGGAAGCCCTAACCTTTATATTTTAGAAGCAGTACAGGGAGTCTTACCATCTGCTCTGGACTGTGTCCCCCTATTCATCAGGGACACTGTCACCCGACCCCAAAACAAGGCAACTGTCACTTCGGAGTGATCATAGAATAGGAGGTGTTTGTCCACGTACCTGGGCACAGAGTGTACCACTTCACCTGCCCACAGGAACTTGCTAATAAATGTTTGTTCTAAGACTTGGCTTTCAACCTGGTGATGAGGTTGTGGGGAATAAGCTTTCTTTTTTTTTTTTTTTTTTTTTATCCTCACCCCAGGACATTTTTGCATTTATTTCAGATAGCGCTGGAGGGAGAGATGGAGGAAGAGAGAGAGAAACATGGATGTGAGGGAGACACATCGAGTGGCTGCCACCCGCGTGACCCCAACCAGGGCCGGGGAAAAACTGCAACCGAGGTACGTGCCCTTAGCAGAACCGAACCCAGGACTCTCTCGTCCCTGGGCCAATGCTCTAACCGCTGAGCCAAACCAGCCACAGCGGGAATAAGTTTTCTAACCTTCACCTATCACTCACTGTCTGAGGCTGCCCATATCGACCCAATGAGTCTGACAGTTGCTGAAAGGCCGTGTTCGGCTGCCTCCACAATTAGCATCCTCACGTGCTCTGTAGGAGACGCAGAGATGAGTAGAATGGGCCCAAACCTGTAAAGCCAGGCTATCCAGGAAAGAGGATAGGGCAGATCAGTGATCAGTGCCCAACGGGAGCTGCAAAACAACAACACACATCGTTCAGATCAGAGAAAGCGCATGCCTGCCTCCACCGACACTGCTGTCCCTGCTCCCCGTCTGCATTCCACAGCGAACTACGGGAGGAATCGGCACTGACTGCAAAAGGAAAAAAAAAGAACTTTTCCATAAAGTATTAATTCATCTCCTTAAGAAAGAAAATCTCGAAGCAGCAGAAACTGATGGTGGAGAAGAAGCTGGTAGTAGTGAAAAGCAATCCCTTAAGAATAACACAGGGTAGCCCTGGCCGGTTTGGCTCAGCGGTTAGAGCCTCCGCCCACGGACCA